CTCTCTTCCATGTCATCCATTTCCTCATTTGCAAAAATACTATCACGATTTTCCTCTTCGTCATTTATTTCTTCTTGTTCCTCCGCAACATTCTCTTCGACGTTTTTCTAAAAATAATTTTGAAAGCTGATTTTATTAAAAAAAAAAGAAAAAAAAAACTAAATTTATTATTTTCAACTGAACAAATTTTAAACCAAACAGTGTACAAAAATGAACAGGGACTTCAAATTCTAACAGACATAGGGGGAACAGGCGGAAATTATGGACAATCAAAAACAAAAAATGCTATGAAAGTCAATCCTTTGAACATTTTGCGATTCTCCGCCGCCCTTGATAGGAACCCTTTTGCATCAAACAACGATTTTTTTTGTAGAAAAATTTACCTTACGGCAAAAAATCAATGAAAGGTCTGAAAAAAACTCTCACCTTTTTCGAGCTCGATGAATGAGTACGCCTTCTACCCTCGTTCCGGTCACTTTCTTCACCATCATCAGATTCCGGATATCGGATATCAGTGTGTCGAGTGCGTGCACTGCTTTTGCTTGGCTCTTCCACATAATCTCCATATCGCTGAGGCGCCTTGTGAACACGTCTTGGCCTTGTACTCATCTGACTTTCACCACCTAACAGAAACAATGTAAAAATCAAACTCCCGTGCTGCACAGCAAAAACGCATAAAAAGGACAGAGCACACAGAAAGGGTGCAAGGATGATACGGAAGACAACAGCCAATTGTTACGGAGATATATACGATGTGTCTGTTATATCGCACAGACAGTAATAATTTTTAGGTCACTGATGCTTTGTACTGTTAAGTGTCTTAGAAATTTTTAAGACTTGTTTTTTTAAAAAATTTAAGATTTAAGAAATTTTTTTAAAGAAATTTTAAGAAAAAAATTTTTTCAAGAAAAGAAAATTTTAAGATTTAGGAAAAAAAATTTTTTCAAGTAAAAAAAGATTTAAGAAATTTAAGATTATGGATGAAGTCTTCTATTTGTTAACATACATAGTTTGTTTGGCACTGTCGGCCGGCCGTTGAGAAGAACACAATCGAATTTTGACAGTTTTGGGGAAGCAGGAAGTGCCTATTAACTTGTACTGCACTCAACTTTGGTATGAGTCTAAAGCGAGTTTAGATGCGAACAGAGATAAAATTTTCATGACATTCACCGTGCCATGAACCGAAATCGCAGATTCATGATTTGTCCCATCCCAAAGCTATCAGGCAGGGCCAAATCTGGCCTGGCTACACAACACAACATAGCGGTACATGAAAGCTACCAAGGATATCGCACACACCCTGACAGGCAACTATCCTCCAATCGCTGTCCTCGAACTATAAAATCGGAAGTCAGGATAATTTCAGAATTGTAGCTTCATACCAAGAATACTAAGGCAAGACAGCAAGCAGCACCTTCGCAAAGTTTCAGCTTTCCAGCTTTCCTGGCTCACAAGATCGTTTCCCGGCCAAAATATCTTTTACGCACTTGTAAGTGAGGATTAAAACAACTCTAGTGCCCATTTTAAGCCCAGCGGTTCATCCACAGTGACCGATCAAGTTTTCAGCTGCATAGGTATTGGAGGTGCGGAGAATCCTCAGAAACACACACACACACACAGCACGCACACATGTACACACACGCACACATACACGCACAGATACACGCACACACACGCAGACACACAAACACATACACGCACACATACACGCACACATACACTCACACACATACACTCACACACATACACGCACGCATACACGCACACACACTCACACACACGTACACACACATACATGCACGCATACACGCACACGCAAACACACACACATGCACACACACGCGCACACAAATGCGCGTACAACCTCCTCGCAATATTTACTTTTTCGTATCAAGCGCCAAGAATACCAACGTTGCTCAAGGCTAACAGGATGGGTGTTCCTTGTTAGTTATTTCACTAGGATTCTCCTACACGTCAACTACATCTACGCCAGGCTCTTCGAATCTGAGCTGCATACTTCCAGTTAATATTCACCGCCTGTTCTATGCATGTGTGTCACCTCTTCCGGGGTTGACCCAGTGGTCACATACTTTCCC